ATAATTTTTGAATGTTTGGCTTCATAATTGAGAATTTGATTTACAAGTCTACAGCAGGATTAAGTCTACTTCGTTATTCAGATTTTATTTCTTCGATTGTATGACAGTGTAATAGGAAAATCCACTTTCATATAAGTGTTGTGTTTTTAATCTTAATGTATACACACGAAAGTTACGCCAACGAGAGTCAATTAACAGCCATTTTTTTTCCAATATGGCGAGAAAATTAACGTTCAGATTTATATAGTGTCATAGTAAACAGATGATATGACATTCAATAACTACTTTTCAATTCAGCGGTAGTATGATAAAAATTATCATTCGCTGATATCAGTTAGTTATATATAATACACGCTTAGGCGATCATGTATCTTTCGATACATGACTGACGAAACAGATTTGTTTTTTTCCTGCAGTAGGCTGCCATTTCTTTCTGCGGTAGACCAGTTGCCATCCAAGGCTATAGAACCTGGTCAGTTCTGCTATTTACCCATAGCTAGTGGAAGAAGAAGAGGATTCACACCATTCCCAAGAGTATTAGCACGTAAGTTAATGTAATGGATTCGACTGGAATTCGAACTCGGCTCTCCAATTCATTTATGTGCCATGCGTGATACGCGCTTAGGCGATCATGTATCTTTGGATACATGACTGACGAGGCAGCTTTTTTTCCCGTAAACCATTTGCCATCCAAGGCTATGGAACCCGTTGTGAAAGGGTGTGGGAGAAGAAGAGGATTCATACGTTTCCCAAGGATATTAGCACGTAAGTGAATGTAATGGATTCGACTGGAATTCGAACTCGGCTCGGGCCGCTATCGATTACTCCGCTAATATACTATATCGAAAAGTATTACAAGATACATCACAACATTATAAAACAGTCTAAATCTGTTGGCAATTTTTTTTAGAAATTATGTGTTAAGTTAAACATTTATTCCTCTGAACTTTTCTCACAGAACTCCTACACTTCTTTGCAGAATCCCTGGATTCCTCGAAACCCACTTTGGGAATCTCTGCCATAGATTATCAGCTGTTGGAGGCAACGTGTGATGTTGCCTTAAGAAAATACTAAATTTGTGTTATTATTTCACTAGTTTAAAGCCACACTCTGTACAGACCTTTAAGCTGCCTCCAGCGGCACAAAATTAAATGAACTTCCAACCCTGCTTAGAGAACAGCATTGATAACTTTGAATAAATCCATGGAATTCAAACTCTGATTCGGGCTATGAATTCGGGTCAATTTAGCAATTTAGTCCGAAATTTGAGTTCTTCAAATCTCAAACTGCGTCGAACACCAATTGAATTCAGTTCTTCAAATAACAAACCCTGCGGTACTTCAAACCCTCTTATTACGAAGCCTGTCACTTTAACTAATTCCCTGGCATTTTAAAGAAATAAAATTGGTTTTCTCAATTCACAATGGAGATAGTTTTAACTGAATTTAAAACATGTTTTTTTTTTTTAATTCACCAGGGTTTTGTGTTACTTTAAAACAAAATAAATAAAAAAACTTTTAAAAATCACTAATTTTTTTGTTACTTTAAAATTTGAATTCGAAATATTCACTCCACATCCGGAAAGAAAATTCAATACTGTATGTTCAAGCACGAGATGGGGGGCAGATTTGCAATCCCAGGAAAATTTTTGTGCCTAACGGTAAAATATGTCCACATAGAGCAAATGTGGCCGAGTTAAAGGAGTTTCAGAAATACAGAATTTACAGTTTATATATATATATATATATATATATATATATATATATATATATATATATATATAAAGACTGTCGCCTTTAACTGTTGACTTCTATTCACTTATATATATATATATATATATATATATATATATATATATATATATATATATATATATATATATATATATATAAGTAAAAATCCTGGTAATTAATCCAAGTGAATCCTAGTAATATAAAATATTAATAGTGATCCACAGAACAGAGGTCAATATATTTATTATAGAGCATATATGAATTACATACATACATATACATATATATATATATATATATATATATATATATATATATATATATATATATATATATATATATATATATATATATAAAAAAAATACAGAAAAAAAAAATTCTGAATATGCATTATTAATGTTAAAATAAAGTCGACGTCGGACGTTTCGGTCTATTTAAGACCATCTTCATGGACATTTTCATTTAAACATAATTAACATTATAACTTATAACAATTTAACACAAAAGACGATGGACATAAGAGCCCAACTAATTCAGACAGATAACTGAAATTTTATATAGATCAGCGTTCTGTTTAAATATGATCACGTAGTCGTCACGTGGGCGATGTTGTTAAGACGTATTCGAAGATGATTTCCAAAAATTAAAAAAAAAATTAAAAATTATCAAAAAGTCGAATGAAAAATTTTTTATAAACAATTAAAGAAATCTCTTCCGTTGTCCATGAAGATGGTCTTAAATAGACCGAAACGTCCGACGTCGACTTTATTTTAACATTAATAATGCATATTCAGAATTTTGTTTTTTTCTGTATTTTTCTTTCATACTGTCGGATTTATATCCATATATTTGCTTACATATATATGTATATATATATATATATATAATTATTTATTTAAAAATATGATTCCAAATCGCTACATAAGAGGTCTCATGTTTCAAAAATACTAAGGGACTTTGGATTATTTACCTAACCAGTTCCTTCCTATTTTCTATATATTTTCACATATATATATATATATATATATATATATATATATATATATATATATATATATATATATTACAGATAGATAGATAGATAGATAGATAGATAGATAGATAGATAGATAGATAATATTTATTACCAATTATAACAAAACATGTAATAAGCCACTACTTAAATGCAATCACGTTTCAACACTATAGATGCATCTTCAGTCTGAAGAAGCACCTATAGTGTTGAAACGTGATTGCATTTAAGTAGTGGCTTATTACATGTTTTTGTTATAATTGGTAATAAATATTATTAAGCTCTACTCTGTACTGATCATGTTTTAAAAATATAATATTTGGACATTGGAATTAACGTGCCTTACACTCGGATAGATAGACAGAATTTAAATGTTTCACTGTCTCCTCCTCCTCCTCCAAACGCAAATCCCAATGTTGAATGTCCATGCACCAAATAAAGGGCAGATTTTTAATCCCTGGTTTATCTTGATTCCACAAACGTATGATACGTCTATGTAGAGCAAGTGTGGACCGACTTAGACGCGTTTCAGACATTCGGAGGGACAGACAGGAGTACCTTGAGGTGGTGTAATGGTTAACAAGCTTGTCTCGCTAGAACTATTAGTAGTGAGTTCGATCCTCACTAAGTGCCCCTTATTTTCGGCCTTGTGCCACATCAGAGCGAAAATCAGTACGGACGAACAGACAGAAGTAGCCGTTTATTTATTTACATATTGAGTGTCAATAGGCCTAATATGTTGACCAAACATAGGTTTTTGTGGAATATATTTATATCAGCCTGAGGTTCGATAAATGATGTACGGTAATAGTTAGGATTGCTGTCATACTTGCTAAAAACACGGTTTTTAATTTTATACCCGCGATATTAGTCGCCCCCTAATTTTGGAAATACTATTTTAGACTCGGAAACTCGACTTGACGAAGTTGCAATTTACGGTTCATATTCTGAAAAGTCGCGTCGGTGCTACTATAGCGTGAGGTCTACCTCGATATGTCGGACCCCTCCCGCACGTGGCCATGAGGTCAGGTGAGGTCTAATATGGATATTTATATTTATCTCATATTTTCCAAACACGTGAAATGGGGTGGGGGTTGACCGAACGCTATATTGAGGCAGACCTTACACTATATTGAGGTAGACCTCACGCTATATTGAGGTAGACCTTACGCTATATTGAGGTAGATCTTACGCTATAAAGAAGTAGACCTCACGCTATATTGAGGCAGACCTTACGCTATATTGAGGTAGATCTCACGCTATATTGAGGCAGACTTTACGCTATATTGTGGTAGGCCTTACGCTATATTGAGGTAGACCTTACGCTATATTGAGGCAGACCATACGCTATATTGAGGTAGATCTCACGCTATATTGAGGCAGACCTTACGCTATATTGAGGTAGATCTTACGCTATAAAGAAGCAGACCTCACGCTATATTGAGGCAGACCTTACGCTATATTGAGGTAGATCTCACGCTATATTGAGGCAGACTTTACGCTATATTGTGGTAGGCCTTACGCTATATTGAGGTAGACCTTACGCTATAAAGAAGTAGACCTCACGCTATATTGAGGCAGACCTTACGCTATATTGAGGCAGACCTTACGCTATATTGAGGTAGGCCTTACGCTATATTGAGGTAGACCTTACGCTATAAAGAAGTAGACCTCACGCTATATTGAGGCAGACCTTACGCTATATTGAGGTAGATCTCACGCTATATTGAGGCAGACCTTACGCTATATTGAGGTAGACCTTACGCTATATTGAGGTAGACCTTACGCTATAAAGAAGTAGACCTCACGCTATATTGAGGCAGACCTCACGCTATAAAGAGATAAACCTCACGTTATATTAGCATTAGTACGTCTTTCTATATGATCCTTGCGTGGAATGGTAAATTTAAAGAAGGTATTACAGCATTTTGATTATCTCTGATGGTGTGAATTTTCAAATATTACTAGAAATTACAGCAGAAATATTATATCATTTTCGGCTAAAAATATCGAGTTGTACGCCGTAATTTACGGTATACCACCCTTGATAAGCTTCTGAGGAAAACATATCCCCACTCTTCAAATTAATTATTCAACTGGAAAATACGGTATTTCAATTCGCATGCTTAACGCACGTTGTTATATATTCGTATGTTTTGTGTTTCTTTTAAGTATTATTTGTTCCTCGGTGTCAAAATATTTGAATTCCGGCGCCTAACCATTTCCGTTTGGCGTCAAACAACACCGGTGAAAGTATGGATCCGAAATATCATCAAGAACGCGACCAGCTTGCTGATTGTTTGACACGTCGACAGAAGAGCCGCCGCTGGAAATCCACTGCTGGGAAGCCAAATATGGAAGCGTGTGTGCCAAC